TAGGAAAGAGAGAGAGAGAGAAAACGAAATAAAGGAGGAGGAAAGAGAGCGCGCGCGCGAGAGAGGGAGAGAGAGAAATGTGTGAATGAAATTCGAGCGAGAGAGAGAAAGGCAGCCCGGCAGAGATACGTAGTTTAGAAAAGAATGCTAAAACGAAAATTCTCTTTACCCGTCTTTTCGCTTAGTTCTTCTCCCGTTGCTATTTTTTAATGCACAATTACACAATAATCAATACGTTATATATATATATATATATATATGTATACATGTATACGCGTATATGCTCGTAGTGTACTACACGTCGGGGGACCAAATGAATGGGAAAGAAAAGGCAAGAACAGAAAGCAATAGTGGACACGCAGATTCTTTTTCTCTGTCGTTTCCTTGTGTTAATTTCTGTAACCGAACTTTTTTTCTGCTGGACTGTCGAAATTATTGTTACTATTGCAATTATTGTAATACCGTCCTCTAATTGAAAATTCTAAAGAATATGACCTTAGAAAGACAATTATATTATGGGAAAGAAAGAAAATAAAGACAATAAAAGACACGCACGCTTAGTCGGTAAGAATTTAGAGGAAAAGGAGAAACGTTCGCGAGAAGATATCATCGTGATTTTTGTATTTTGTACCTATTTAGAATTGTACACGTGAATAGAATTTAGAACTTTCTCTTGTTACACTTATTATACATACACACACACACACACACATATATATATATACTTCCTTTTTCCTTGCTTATGTTCCCTGTTCTTTATATACTTTTTCACTTCAGTTCCTTTTGTTCTTTTTTTCTGTTCACTTTTATTTGTTTTTTTCTTTTAATCCTTTAGTCGAAAAATTGAAAATTTTCAAAAAAGAAAGAAGTCCTTGAATTTTTGTTTTCTGTTTTTCATCGTGCACAGGACAGTTCACTTGAAAAAGTCAAAATATCAGTCCTAATGATCTATGAAAAATCTATGAAATTAAATTGTAGTTATATTCATTGATATGCTTGTTCGGGCAACATTTGAAAATTTGTACTTTTTCAACAAAATAGGTCACGTGATATGTAGTCACGTAAAAGTTAAATAAAAAGAGATTAGTAAATGAATTAACGTTACAGTAACCAAGGGGAAGCAAAAAAAAAAGTGCCTATTTCGTATGTATGTATATCGTATAATAAGCGACGTGATCGCGAGCCTACCCATTCGTAGAACAGTGATAGAACGTTGGTGCATCGTTCTATTCCAATAAATTTCCATGCTGATTAGGGGAGGAACATAATTATACCTGTACTCCATACATTTATGCCGTATGTGTACGTGCTTCCTTGTACTTGTAGATGCGCTAAGATACGAGAGAAGAAAAATTATATATAAAAAATTAGTGTGCATATATATATATATACACACCCAAATATATGCATATATATATGTGTATAAATATAGGATTATAACGATGAACCAGCTAGATAATAATTGCTGGAGGAACGAGTGATAATTAATTAATAACGACAATCGATACGTTATTTTTCTCATTATTATTAATATTCCGTTCTTTACTCGTTGATAATGATAGTTACTACTTATTATATAAATATAGTAAGATTAGAGAAAAGGAAAAAAGAAGTTTCCTCTCTGTAACAAATGGCGGTTTTATGAGATTTTTAGTGTTTTAAAGGAGTGAAATTCAACGTGCGTACATTTAGTTCGTGAATTTGTCTCTTCCTATTTGCGTCTTCATTATGCCTCTAGAGGATCGACAATGTACTGCCAGAATATATATATATATATAATTTCATAAAAATGTTCTTCTTATGGAATTGAACGAATAAAATGTCAGCGAGTATTAAAAGTGGTTTGCATGATTCCTCAGTCTCACGACCGTGCCTCCCCCTCGACGAGAATTATCCAAGCATATTTCTGTTTTAATTCATGTTACATCGAGGATTAGAAACTTCGAAATTAAAGGTTTCCAATGGTAAGTAAAATTGTTCTGCAGAGGAAGGAAATTCTTGTATTGAAAAAGAAGAAAAAAAAAAGAAAATAGCAAAGATATATGTATGACACTGTTACGTATTTCGTTTGTTGTAGATTTGAAATAAAATCAACCGAGATTCACCATTTCGAAGTAACATACGTACATTATGTAACCAAAAGGATTTCTTTAGCTTTTCTCTCTACGGTTTTCGAACTTTTCTTCATCCTTCGTAAAACTTCTTCGTTTTCAGGAAAATGAAAAACAAGCATTCGGTTGTCGAAGGAACGAGTCAATTTTTCCTTTCAATTTTTGAAAAAAATAGATAATCAAGAGAGAAGTATTTCCATTGAAAAACGTAGTTTTTCAGTTTCAAAAGTATCTAAATATATTTTAGTATAAAAGCGACAGAACGTTTATTGTTGAAAGTATAGCCAACAAGAGGAGGTGGTGAATCGACGATAGCGCGATTTTTACCAATGCAGGGGGGGGGGGGGAGCATTTATTAGATCATTGATGATCATCGAAAGGAACCTCGAAGCTTATTCCATCAGTCGAGGTCCAACTAATTTCGGTTCCCTCTATTCGCTTTATTGCATCAGGGGGCACGAAGATTATTCTCATTTTGTTGATTAGTAACTCGAAGCTTAGCCTTAGCGTTAAATCGTCCCATTATCTCGCGTTCACCAGTCCTTCTGCAGCAATATAAGTTACTTCTTTTCAACAACTTTCGTAGTTTCTCTTCTTTTTTTTTTTTTCTGAATTAGAAAAAGTGTCAACGTTGAGAATAATATGAATGAAAATATCAACTTTTGCAATGTGAAAGATTCGAAGCTCGTTAGATTTCATTCAGAGTAAAGAAGATTTTTCTTTTTTACAAATACATATATAATTTCAGTGACTAGTATTTTGATCGATTATAACTCAAGAGTTCAAATAAAAAGATATTTTATATATGCAAAGTTTTCTGGAAGATCTTCGCAACCCCTATATTTCAATGTGCATTCGATAGTTTGTTCTTATGATAAATTCGAAAGCACGAATTATAATAATAAGGAATAAAAGAATGCGTGATAAATGTGGTATTTCAGTGGTGCATTCATTTGAAAAATGCAGCAGGAAGCAGACTAGTGTCTCGTTCAGCTGGGCAGGTCAATTCAAAACAATATAGTCTAGGCAAAGGGACGAGAAATGGGCTCCTTACAGTTTTTACGACCTGGTCGGGTTTGTTTAACAATAACCCTAGGCACTAGTGTCATATTTATTAAATAGTAAGAAAATTATTTGTTCTTCTGATTTTATCTTCCTTTAAACAGGTTACAAAAGAAGAAAACGGAATATTAATTATAGAGGAAACTATTTATAAAAACCAATCTGTGGCAATATCCAAAAAACAAAAAAATATAGAGCATTAATTATTCTTATTTCATTCTTTAATATCCCTTATCGATCATCGTTCAACTCGTGAAAGAAGAATATCCACAATGAATCTGATTTTCTTCTTATAAAATTGCTTCCAACTGTAAACCTAAAAATCTAAGTAACCACAGGAACATTGAAAATACGCATTACCAGTGATAATCAATCGATATGTATCAATATGTATCACGTTGAAAAAGAAAAAAAAGGAACATCTACTGTCTTAAGTTCCAAGTTGAAACGTGGAATTACAGTTGCGTCCAGCAAATTTTGTACAGGATTTCAGCGTACAGGCTGTACACGGACACAGACCAGGTAGCAAAAGACAATGCTGTATAATACATGTATACAGGTATGAAGAACTTAGAGGACAGAATTTTCTTTGGAGGATCCGTTCGGTTTGCTGGCTGGAAGCGACCGCATCAGGGGCAACGGCCGGTCAAAGTCCTTCGACATTCTATCCCCTCTACTTCTTTGTTCCTGTCCTTCTTGTTCAACGTTTCTCTTTTCCCTGCAACTTTACTCCTCTTCCACCTTAAACTTGTTCCCACTCATCACCATATCTTATTTGGTCTCTCCTTTTTTTCTTTTTCCTTTTTTTACTTATTCCCCTCCGTTTACCTTTCCTATCTCCACCGACGCTCGTAATTTCGGTGCGCTATTCTCTCCTTTATCCGTTCTTCCGTCGTTTTCAGCCCTCTTACATTCGTCTTTTCCTACGTTTCTATCGCATTCCTGTGTACGTCCATTCCTAAGCTGCCCTTTGCTATTGTTCTCTCGAGGATAAGCCGGTTTTCATATACCTCGGTATCGATATTAACACTTTAATACCTTTTGATTGTACGTCGCGCGTGAAAACGATCAACTCGGTTGAAACTGTAATTTGAAAATTTCTTCTTAACGTGTTACATCGATTGTATATCAATGGAAACGGTGTATTCGAAAGAAAACGAATAGAGGCGTATAGATTACCCCTCTGAATGAAATATCGCCGTTTAGATCCAAAGAATCGAGTCTTTCGCAATTTCGAAGAAATTAAATTTTTACTTGAAAATTCGTCATTTTATTAAGTCAAGGTGGAAGTGCGCAGAGGGGAAAAATTAAGGATTGAATTATGGTGCAAGGGTGCCAAAAGCGCCCAACGCGAGGAAATATTCGCGACGCCTATAGGTTCCAAGGTTACATGCGCGGGAAAATTTTGAAACTGCCTATATACGCGAACAGCAGCGAAAACGGTTGAAGTAATATAGTTGATCTCTCGAATCCACTCGAATGGTTTGAAATTCCCATAAATCAATCGAAATCATCTTCGCCGGCGGCCATGTTATGATTCTGTCGAATAAAATGGTATTTCGCGGAACGTTTTATAAGAGCCCGATTGAAATCGCTGAATTGTACTTGGGTTTTCTGGTACACAATGATAAGCCTTTATATCTCGCATGGCCTTTATTTTTAAATAGGAAAAAAAAAAAACCTCACGATAAACTAGAATTAATCATCACGATTGTGTTCAGCCGCGATTTCAACGTGATTAACGTTGAAGTCATCGGCTCGATAGAGATTAACCAAGATTTGTTTCGTAATTTTTACCGGTGAACTACGTGCAATTAACGAGAACGCCTACGTCGTTGTTGAATCAACAGTTTAAAAGTCGTAAAATGATGAGACAGGCGACGACGCTAATAATTTTACACGCGTAAAAATATGCAGACGTTCGACAAATACGTTCTAATTTTCTAACTTACCACAAAAATCGAATTTACCAAAGAAAAATAGGTAAACGACTTGTGCTCTATTTAAGATTGCAAACATCGATATTGATCTATGTACAATTTATCGTAATATTATTATGCATACGTGACCAAAATTTGTAGAAGAAAAGAAACGATATTAATATTACGAGAGCGAAACGATCGAAAATGAAATGTATTTCCTTTTTCGATTTTCAAAGGAAGAACGGCCTATATTCGATGTTATTGCATTTATTAAAGATCAATCGATCGATCGATCAATCAACGAGGAAACGTTCTGGATGAAATCATTAGGTGCTCGTTCCCGTTAAATCCGCCGGTTAGAGTACGATGTTATCTTTTCTTATCTGAAGCGAGTAAATGTCTGCGTAACAATACTAATAATTCTACCTCTTTCTATGGTTACGAATCTACGAGTTTCGTGAAGCGTTGTCACTCACGATGCTACTGCGCAATCGTGGTAATTGATAAGAAAGAATAAGATTTACTAGCTTCGAAGGTTTAGTTGTGAACACGATCAACATTCAATCGGTATTCGTGCCAGTATTTTACGTGAATTTTCAGTATCTCACAAAACGTCATTCTTACCGTTCGATAAGTATTACTTCTACGTACACGAAGTTAGTGTTCTCCGGAGACGGAGAGAGAGAGACAGAGAGGGATACCGGAAGTAGTCGGTGGACGCCGGAGAACCGGAAGTGGCGCGGACAAGTAGCCACTATTTCGAAGGATCTCGAAGGTTGTGATCCAGAGGGAAGATTCACAACTTTCTTCCTAAAAGATGGCCACCGTTTTGGCCACATTCTCGGTCCTCAAGGATCACGTGAAGCTTAAAGTCTCGCAGGATGCTGTGGCCATTGATAATATGGGTAATTGAAAACGACGACTGCTGGCCTAAAGAAAAGTCTGGGAAAATTGTTCTTGCTTTCATTGATTTATTCTTAACGATTTACAATTTTTTTTTTTTTTAAATATTGCTTCATCGTTCTTATTTATTTTTCCTTGCTTTCTTTTTCTGTTTTTTCACGGAGCAAATATTCTTGCATTATGATCAGTTTTCAAGCTGCACTACAGAGTCACGTTTCTGCTACTTCTGATCAGTACACTCCTGGTGACGGCTAGACAATTTATCGGGGAGCATATCAGGTACAGAAGTTTACGATTGCACAAGTATTCTTAACACTTTATCGTTGGGTGCTTCATCAATGCGGCATTACTAACAGCACGAACAATGTTGTTCAGCTTCCCGAGAAACTTTATGCGATTTTGTTTTGTTTAGACATGCAGTTATCTACCTAGATCTCTGACAAGTTAAAGAAATTCGTAACTAACATGTTCCTACTTCCCCCGGTATTTCTGAAGGTCTTGATAATAGTCGATTCGGGATGAAAAAGAAGAAATAAGAGGGGTTTCGTGCTAATGATAGTTATTTAGACTAGGAGGACGCTGTTGGTAGTTGAAGTAGTTTAAAGAATGATCGAGTTCGTAGTTTTTCACGTATAATGTCATTTTTGTTACAGCATTTAGAATGTATTCGTAACAATAGGATATAACAATGTTGTTAGTATTATCAGTATTGTAAAACTTTAATAAATTGTAAGATTTCAATAAAGTTTTCATTATGCTCGATTTGGATACTTTTTCACTAGCCTTGCAATACTCGAAGAAAAAGATACAGTTCCTGGATAAAAAGTTTCAAATTTTGATCTCAATAACCGCTTACGTTCCAAGTTTTAAATCTTTCTTTTACACAAATTCGTTTACACAAAATGGCATTACTTTTACACCTAACACGAGAATATTGTCCGAAAAATATTACATTACTGTAGGATTTTTTGGTAAATTTTTACCAAGCATAGAAGAAATTTCAATGAAATTATATCGAACAACATACGTACACTTTGGAACGTGAGATATTTCGCGACTCATAGATAATGTGTTAAGGATGCATCTGTCGATTAAAAATGTATTAATAAAAGAAACACAGTAAACCGTATTCGACGTTTTGTTTTAACGAATAAGATGTCTCGCTGGTGCTGCAATGACCGATGATAAGATGAAAGTAATCAATACCTACTGCTTTTCTACATCTACGTACACTGTGGTAAATATCAAAATTATGCAACAGATTATTCGTCGTGATCGAATAAATTGAAAATCTATGCTCAAACTACTTGCAAACAGATCTTTGAAAATTTACTTTTACATATAAAGTAAACCTCTATTCCTCGGTATTCGCCAAATTTTCATCTATCGATTTAACACTCTGGTAATATATTTTTTCGATGCTTGAAACATCAGAAAACATTTTCCCTCGAACACAGATATTACTTATTTCCAATTGGAATCTTCAAGGTGGCGAGTTCTTAGAAAAATTCCTAATACATATTTTCTTTTTAAACAAAACGTGACATAATTACCATTTCTTCTATCTAACGAAGGGGTTAATTTTTTTACTTGGAAAAATTCGAATTACTAATAACATTAACGTTGCTAATCTTTCGAATAATTTAACACGAGATAGAGTGGAGAAGAAAAAAGAAAATGGTAGATCACTTTACACATGTATGTCTTATAATTTCACAAAAATTCTCATGCTTCCTAGTGAATTTTTCAGGTGAAACACATGAACCAGACATCCGTCGAGCTGGGTGAGATCGCACATCCTGGCGTGGGACCTGCGACCAAAGATGACTCCGTGGTGCATCATGCCTACTACCAGTGGGTGCCCTTCGTTCTGTTTTTTCAAGCGATCCTCTTTTACGCGCCTCACTACCTGTGGCGGAATGTTGAAGGTCAGTCCCGCTATATACTTTCTTCCAACCAATCTTACATACCTTCCTCCACCTATATACAGGGTGTTTCAAAATCATAGATACTTCACTGGTATATTAGCGGGGAAACTTTAAAGATGAAGAGATAATCGTCTTTTAAAATGAAGAATTCACGCTGAAATTCGTACTAAAAATTCACACATTAGCTTCGGACGACGCACATGTATGCGTCATTCGGGGTTTTTCACTTGAGCAGATACGGATGACGTGAAATACGTCGTTGAGATTTTCACGTATCTATCTGTTTGAAAATAAATTTAGAAAACGCTATAAACGGTTCAATTTCTCTCATCGGAAACGCCATAACGCGGCTCCAAAACGCCTCGACGCCAATATGTTAATACTAACCCTTTCGCTGCGGCAAATTTCAATCGCGGCTGCAAAATCTTTCCTTTCGGTCGCGTCGTTTTAAAATTTGTTCCGTTCAATTAAGATGGAAGCGTGCAAAGAAGAAAAATTAAGGAATAAATGCGGTGTGAAAGTGCGCCAAAAGGCGCTAAGAACACTATGTTCTTCCAAACTTTCCAACATTACAGGCGCCAACAGCAGTGAAAGGGTTAATAATTGTACAACTATTCGTGTGTTCGCATAATTTACGCGACATCTCTCTACGAGGACGTACGAAAAATTCTTAAATGGCAGCCATACCTAACCCTCAATTGGAAATGAAGATTTGGAAGGAAATATCCGAAGTATAATTCCTTATTCGAAGCATTTTTAAACACGGTCCACACTTTTCTTTTTAGACAACCCTGTATATACATCAACGTTCATATACCTACTCGTGTTCGTTTTCAATATGGCAATTGTCGATGCGCCGGAGAACAGCTTTATCGTATGATCGTAGTTTATTTTTTTATCGCTACACTAGTCCTCGTAAATCACTGTACAACATATGTGCACAGTACTCTACGATGTGAATTAAGAAAAAAAAAAAGAAACAATGAAATAAAATTGCACGGTTCCAGGGGGTCGTTTGAAAGTACTAGTGTCTGGATTACACATGGCGTCGTTAGCTCTACGAGAGAATTCCTTGAGTACCAGCAACGGCATCACTGTTCTATCGGTGAACGAACGCAAGGAGAAGATCCAACAGATTCGAACTGCTTTTCTCAATCGTATTCACTTGAATCGACCATGGGCGTACTATCTTGGCCTCTGTGAGGTTCTCAATTTCATCAACGTACTCGTCCAGATTTACCTCACCGATTGGTTCCTCGGCGGAGCTTTCCTCGGTCTTGGACAGACTCTGGCTGAAGGTACTGCCGATGGAAAAGTGGATCCACTCGATGTCGTCTTTCCCAAGGTACGTTTCATAGAATTGGCATTGTTTCGTCGTGAAAATTGTCCATTTAGAGAAAAAAAAACTCCTTCCAACCCTTCGACAGTCTAATAAAATTATGAATTACGGTAAAAAAAATGTAGATTTTACTATTGTATTATGTCTCTTTCGAACTTTCTTCCTAAATGTCTCTCTTGAGCTTAAACACTTAGATATTTGCCTCTCACGGGATAAACTGTCGAAGGGTTAAATTTACGATGGATTTTTAGTGTTTATCATCTTGTCTCGAGGTGTGCTTTGTCAAATTAGTATTGTCCAGCTTATGTTCCATAGTGAAATTCTTGTTTGATGACAAATCAAATTTAGCAGTCCTTCGTTATTCGCACGCGTAAGTGTACACGGTGTAATTTATTGTAAAATAAAAAAAAAAGATGTTTGATTGCAACGTGAAAAATGTCACTTTTAGAGTCTTCATTGACTCTATTTTCATAAAAGTGCCTGGAAAATACATCGGTGTGTATGAATCACGTTTACATATCTCTTTTAGTGCTTGCAATCAGTGATAAAAGTAATCGCATTTCTACTGTTGTTGATTTTGCACGCTCGATATCCACTTTTGTTTGTGCGAAAAATAGAATAGAATTTTCTTAATAGCAACACGCACGTTTTGTTCGTTAAGTTTTCTATTGATTAGAAAGGTGCTGATTTGTTACATTTTATCGCACGAAATCGGAACTGCGACAGTACTGTATCTGTAGAATTCCCAGAAATTAGCGAATAAAGTGTCGTCCCACGGCTTCCGGTTACTTTCGTCGAGTAAGAAATTTTTGATTTTTAACAGCTTCTGAAACGAACATTTTTCAGGTAACCAAATGTGTCTTCCACATGTACGGTCCATCGGGAACGATACAAAACTACGATGCTTTGTGCGTGATGGCGTTGAACATCGTTAACGAGAAGATCTATGTGTTACTTTGGTATTGGTTCATCATTCTCTCGGTGATAACCGGTTTAGGATTGCTTTGGAGGGTACTGACTATGGTGTTGCACTCCAGGTTACTACTATTTATTGCCTACACTTATTCTACAACTTATCCACCCTAACCTTTTCGGAAATCCCCGTTCTAGGAACTTTACACGCTAGCCTTTAAATCAGCGACACTTGAAAACTCGCCTGAATATTCGTTGAAATACTCCTTAAAAATCTGAGTTTAATCCTTCGACAGTTTATCCCGAGTGAGACTCGGGCAAAACGTCAACTATCTAACTGTTTAGCTCAAGAGAGACTCTTAGGAAGAAAGGTGAAAAGGAACAGAGATATTATTGTCGTAACTATGACGTAGGGTTATGTATCCCTTGTTTTATTATTGTTGCACAATTACGTGTGAAATGTACATCTTTTTTACCGTAATCCATAATTTTACTAGACTGTCAAAGGTTTAAGGCTCGATTCTCCTATCCTTTTTCTTTCCTTCTTTCACATAACCTCTCTCTCTCTATTCAATTTTCTTCTTCCATAACTAAATTATTGTGTTTATCTCTAGCGACTGTTTCACAATTTTCTCGTCCAAACAGGAGCGTGCAGTTCAACAAACTGGTGTTCTCCTTGGCTTGTCCAGGGAGGAACAATCCATGGAATGTACTGGCGGTTACTCATGAATGTCACTATGGCGACTGGCTATTCCTCTACTATATAGCGAAGAACCTGGAGAATCGCGTGTTTAAGGAACTGTTACTACAAGTGGCAGAGGACCTACAAGAAAGACGCCAGCTCCGGTTTAGTCTTTTAACGGAGGAGAAACCGTTAAAAGCTTAAGTGTCAGCCTTAACTCTCGCGCCATGGATAAGGGTGATTGCTTGCAGGGTTGTTTCTTCGTTGGTGATGTGAATTTACATTTCAACAGATCGATAATAGGATTGTGGACAAATGAGAGAATAAAATTTCTTCTTTTTCTAATTTCTTATCAAAAAGAGTATTATTTACGGGATACATTTCGATCATTCGGATGATCCACAAAGCTCTACCTTCTAAGGATAGTATTTTCA